CGAAATAAATATTTTTATCTTCAGCGCCCGAGACTGTTTATCGGAAATTCTAAAGACATGCTGGTTTTAAACACTTTTAGCCCAAATGCTGTCAAAATCTGTAAATGAAAAAATAAATCCCTTAAGGCGTAATTTGAGGGCTTTTAGATTTTTATTATTACTATTTTCATAGGCGACCCAAGAATTGATTTTTAGTAATTTGTAAGACCAAGATTGTTGTGATAGGAAAAAGCATCATCTGAATTTCCAGCGCATTTAAAATCGTTTTAAAATCTTTTAAAATACTTAAGATGGTTGTTATTTACTTATTTTGTATTTCAGAGGGTGGAAATAAGCAAATTATTATCTTTGAACATAAGAGAATTCATCCCTCTAATCAGCTGATAAAGAAATACGTGATATCACCGTTCTTCTAAAGCCTTTCGAAGTATTGGATGATGTGAGATTAATATTCAGGTAATTTAATTTTTTTTTGACGGTTTTGATTTGAAAATCCATCACTGATAGCAGGTCCATGATTATCAGCACCCATCGATCAATCGATCAGTATCGGAAAAGTATATAACCTATATTAAAAATTCCAAAACAAATTTCATTTCGTAAATTATTTACTGATCTATCCGAAGATGTAAAGACGGAAATTCTACAATGATTAATTTGATGAATTAGCAAGGATATATAAGAAACATCCGTTCAAAATCACTTACACGTTAATTAACAAAAATAGAAAGAAAAAAGATATTAAATGTTGCATATACAAATGTGCAGAAAATTCCAAGAAAATTTATCTTCTCGATAGTAACAGGTCAACACATTACATTAATATTTGAAAAAACAAACAGAGAAACTAACCTAAACAAAACTGTTTAATAAGATTGTAGAGATATTAGGTTATTTGGAAGCAGGAGAGATGAAAATGACCAAAATGATCCTCACCGGGAATCGAACCACGGACCTCTGGAATACGCGCTCAACGTGCTGGCTACTACACTACGAAGGCAGGAGAAATACCTTATATACTCCCCCTTTTAAAGGGCGACTGGGGATTAAGGGGGCCCCAATCGCCAAATCCTGGGTGTGGAGAATCATCATCCACCACCCTTTCAGTTCGGGTGCGACTGTAGAGACATTGGGTTATTTGGAAGAAAAAGAGATGAAAAATGAGCAACGCCCTCGCCGGGAATCGAACCACGGACCTATGAAATACGCTGACCACTACACTACGGAGGCATGCTAAGAAGGCGGGAGAAAATACCTTATAAGATAACATGATGCAAAGGAAGTTTCTCTTTCTAGTGACTGCGAATACAGTCAACTCTCGATTTTCAGATATAATACTGGGGACAATGTGCCTGGTTATCTCAAAATCATGGTTATTCCGGACTGTTAAAGCAGAGTAAAAAAGCTTAGCCCATATTATAGTCAACAGAAAAATACTATTAGGAATTTTCTTGCATTTTTAAAGCAGTTAATATGCAGGTCATTCTGCTATGTAATTTAAATCAGTTTCAGAGCAAAACAAATGCACTGTAAATGATAGGAAAATGAACATCATTGCAAATGAAAAAAACTGAGTTATAAAAGACATTAAAGAAAGTATTTACAAGAGAACTTGAACGATATTTTCTTGAACTTGAACGATATTTACAAGAGATATTGAACAGTGTACAAGTCCAATTAGAACTTGTACATTGTTCATATAATTAATCGCACAGTTAAATCACATAGTGTTGCAGATAAAAACAACTCCAAAATATTTTATCATTTGTTATCACTGATGTTATTCCATTCATTTTCTTCTCCATTTTCTGTTTTCGGTAAAAAATTTTGCTTGAAGTATATAGTTCGTTATAACATTTTTCCCAACATTCTGCAATAAGGCAACCTAACGTTTTTCTAACATTGGCTTGTTAATCTGCAACAAATTAATTTACTCTCAGTTAGTCGGGAGTTATTTATAACAAAAATATGGGAATTACACTAAATGTAATCTTAAGTGATCATGTTTATGTGTTTGCTTAGAATGCTATACAGAAATGAATTTCAGACTTTCAACTACTCATATGAAAAGCAAAAAAAAAAAAAAAAAAAAAAAAAAAAACCTAATGTGAACGCCACTTGATTTCCTTGTACGGCCTATTAAATTTTATTTATTATTTTTGCTGCACTTCAATTAAACTTATTCCTTAGAATTATTCTAAGTTAACAGATCCCTCAAAACAAGTTGAAAATGGCATCAAAAACTGCAAATTTTGAAATTAAATATCCCGGTCAATTTTTGCCGTACGAGAGTCAAACTTCTTATAATTTTATTTTCTCTTATGAGAAAATAAAACTTTCCCATATATAAACATAGGAACCGTCAGATCGCATTAAAAGTTAGATTTCATTATCTATCGATTTTTTTAATTCAGCATTGCCAAAGTATGAAAATATTCGTCATTTAAAAAACTATGTTAATAAGACCAATGACTGCGAAAATAATAGTTTTTACAAGGACCTTTAAACCGGTTAAAGGGGTGGATATATATACATATGCAACCACGTTCTCTCCCGTTTATATATGTATACTTGTATTGCCGATTGCAATAAGAAAGAGAGAAATGTTATAACAGTCAAAATACAGTATACAAAACTTCAACGTTCTACGGCTAATCGTTTTGGTGTTATGCGAGATACGTACATACCTATGTAGATAAAGACAATCATGGGGAAAAAATCCCTCTTGAATTTATTTTAAATCGATTTGTGAAAAAAAAAAAAAAAAAAAAAAGAGTCCTTCGTTCTGTCCTTTCGTACAGACGTCACGTAAAGAAGTAGTCTTCAAACGGATTCGGAAACGGTTAAAATGGATATTCACGTTGAAATATGATACCTGAAAGTTTTCGCGATTTCAATACTTCCTTGACTTCGTACAAGGAAGTAAAAAAGGGAAATACAGCAGCTATTGATTACGTAAAGTGCAAAGAATGTTTTAATCATGGAAACAATAAATGAAAACCGTATAATAAGTCAAATTTTACCCCAGCCTCTTACGTAACCTCTGTGTATAATTTGAACTTGTTTTTATGCAGCTCTGCAACTTAAATATTTTTACTTGAGATTAGTACTTAATGAAATAAAGCCCGTGGAGACCTGTTTTGAATGATCTACATTACTCTGCGATTTAAGTAAGGTATATTGAGCAAAAGAAAACGTTTAATTATCTTTTCCACTTCTCCTTTAATACAAAAAAATACTACAAATAGTAAAATGTACGAAAAATCATTGTATGATTAAAAAATGGAAAATATCGAAATTTCCTTAGCACCATGAAATAAAAACATTACTCGAAAAACAGTTTAATTAAAAATTAATAAACAACATTTTTAATCTTCAGGATTTTATGATTAAATTCAGAATTCCGAAATTAACATTGAACAAAACTTCATTTGCTCTTCATTACAAATCACTGGCTTGTAAATTGTTAAATGATGCTGTATTAAAGAAATATATGACATCAGAAACATTTAAAATTGGATAACGATCGACATTTTATTGGTGCCGACTTTTAAAGCAATCATAAAATCAAATGTTTTCTACACCCTAAAAAAAATTACCTATATCTGATCGCCGTCGGAACTGATAGTTTTGTTAAAAATCTAGGCTAATGTAAGACTGCTCGTATAATTTTAAATTTTATATTGGCGTGTTTCTATAATTATAAATATACTTCATTAATGTCTATAATGTCTCATAAAAGTTATTACTCGAATAAATTATATCGAATAAATTATAAATTATATCAATTAGATATATTATTCAAAAACTAAAATTGAAGTATTAAATAAAAGGGAAATATATTTTCTTATTATTATTAAATATTTTATGCACAATTCTTAACACTAAGAAAAATACATCAAATTATTCTGTTAAGTGCATAAAAATGGCAGTAGAAACAATTACGCTGCAAATCTTACAAAACTCGCTCAGCTGGAGAGAGAATAAATTAAATATATTGGACAAAATTGTACCAACTTGTATGAAAAGTATGTAAGTAGCAACTTTTATGAAATTAGAATCGTATAAAATTAGAACTATAATCAAATATAGCAATTAATAAGAAAGCATTCGAGCAAAATGTGAAAAGTGCAACTCCAACGCAAAGCCCGTCAAGAACAGTTTGAGCAAATGGAGGACTTTCTAAAGGAAACAGACTCGTGATTTCGTTACATATTTTCAGGAAAATCACGAAAATGACGGTGACATTAACTAGTTCGCCAGTTATCAAACTCATGCCAGTAAAATGAAGTTTTCCACGTACCATGCATTATAATTGAATTGACTTACAAGGTATTTCCCCCGTCTTCCTAGCGTGCCTTCGTGGTGTAGTGGTTCTGCACGCTGGGCAGGCATTTCAGAGGTCCGTGGTTCGATTCCCGGCGATGACGTTTACTAATTTTTCATCTTGCCTGCTTCTAAAAATAATAACCTAATGTCTCTACAGACTGTTTAGCTGTACATGCTGTTGTACGATAAAGCACGGATGAGTTATCTGTTTAATGGAAAGGCTGCCTTGGTACAAGACTGTAAAGGTGAAACGGTTCCTATTCGGATTAGACTCGCGAAAATCCACAAAAACCATCTACATAAACACTTCAATCATCAGTATACGAAACAGAATCTAGTTACCAGCCTTATCTATTCCACCATGATAGTCCTAACTAACCGAGACATTGACTGATCTATAAAAATTGTCGGCGATGTTTAAAGAATGGGAAAGCTTGAATGATCAAAGGATTTTTTGCTTTGAAATGAAAATTTGAGTCCCCCACCAAAAAACAAAATGCGTTTTTCCTTTTTTTACATTGATCATCACAATATATTTTGTAAAATGTACGACTAAACGGATTTCTTCATTTTAACTTTTGACACTATGTGTGATATTTCCTATTAGTAATTCAATAAAAATTGGTGATCAGCAATATGTGATATTTTAGTAATTTTGAGACGTCTGTTACCTTCTGCGTGCTGCGGAGCTGGTGCTGTTTCCACGTGACCTCCAAATTCTTCATATGGCTTAGGACGTTGGTGATAGGGTGGTGGAGCAGAGTACTTCGAGATATAGTTAGCAGGCATAGGCCTCAAGTGGCAGGCGCAACCAGTAGGTACTCTGAAGACATCGATGTGCAAGCCACTTTCTTTATTGAACACTAGAAGTCGATGATAACTGTAGACTTGCGCACATGTTGACTGCATGCGACTGACCACATACTTGCATGGGTTACCTGAAGCTCTGAAAAGAAGTAAAAGAAAAAACTTACACAAATACTGAAGTGACCAGAACTCTCAATAATAAATATGTACAAATACTGGAATCAGAGTTAAAATTCATTTGAGTTTCACCAAAGCTTTCTTTGCGGCATTAACTTTCCGTGTACACGCATGTAAAAAATTATGAGAATTTGCAAATTATGTCTGTTTTTAGAAAACGTATTAAAGCAAACGTACTTATTATACGGCCGAAGAATTATGCAAATATTCAAGATCAAATACATAAGCGTGCACGTGCGTATCTGTGCAGCTGTGAGTATAGAGCGGATATAAGCGCACGAGGGGTTTTCGGGAATTTCCGTGAGCGTTGTAACGTCACCGAGCTAACTACACAGTTCGTCTTTTTAGATTAATTTAAAAACTTAAGATAGGCTTTCTTGGTTAATTAAAAGAGTAACGTTACAGCCTTATTACAGAAGAGGAAAGACAACAGCTTTCAGCAGGATGAGTCACCTCCCAAGGGGGATATGCTTAATCAGTTTTTTCTTGATCACTTTCATCGGCTCCCACGGTGAATACTGGGGTTCGTTTCCAAGATAACAAGGAAGTTCTCTAAGGATATAAACATGTCGCATTATTACACCGTATTCCTTCATAACATTCGCCCTGTTTCTCACAAGAGTTCGGTAAGTTTTATAAGGTACCGGATAAAATAAGTATCCACGAACGTATGGATGATAAAATAAGCTGGAGAAGAGTCGGTACATTAGAAGCAGACCAATGACAAGCGCAGGTGTCTACAGAGCTCTATTTAACGCCCAGGGTTGTTTGCAGTTTGTGCAAACAGTTTCAGGACATTGGATATATATCGAGAAGATCTGGACAAGATCGATGAAGACAAACAATGAAATTGAAGATCGTTATTTGGCACTTTCCACGCGGCGACATAGTGTTGCTACAGGTTCACAGTTCTCATGTGAGCTGTATTCTACCACTTAAATCCGAGTTTTACCGTCTACAGTACCCTGAAGGCTTCATGAAATAGGGCTATATGCCAGAAGATTCGTTGTCTACGTCCTACTCATTGCAGCACACAAGAAAGTACGTTTACCATGATGCAAGGAACATGCAACAAACTTCTGTAGAGTACAGCGCTTTTCACAGATGAGTCAAGATTCAGCCTGGACACTGGTCTTTGTATCTGGAAAGAACCTGGAACACGATACCATTCCTCCCTCATCAGAAAGTAATCATTACTGTGGTGCAGGTGTAATAGTTTAGGCAGGCATTAGATTAGTATAAATATAAGGTTAAAGTGTTGCCTAAGGATTAAATATGTGTGTAATATATATATATAATAATAATAAGGTGTTGGCCTAAGGATAAAGTGTTGATAAATAAGCCTTTTTTTCAAATGTATTTAACAATGATAATTAGTAAATTTCTCTGTTAAGTGAAGCACAATAATAAACTATAAGTTTTTATAAAGCTCTTATAAATTATATAGTTCTTATAAATTCTTATAAATTACGGCATTTCACTATAAGAGAACCGATAACTATCAATGGCAGTATATTATGAGAACGAAATTTTTTCGTTTGTAGCAATAAACTGTTCCTAAAGGATTGGGGGGGGGGACAATCAAGTATTCTCAACCCCAAACACGAAACCTTTTTTCATCAGGTAAATATGTGACATGACTTATTGTGAGTAATATGTAACACATTTTTCGTATGTTACTGTGAAAGTTCACAGAGCATTTTCAAAATAAATGTGTTGTCTGCCTACATCAGCGTTAATGAACTTATTAAAAGTACCAACTGTAAATAATTTTAAAAGATTTAGCCTATAATGAGAGCCTATAATGTATTTTTCTGAATCAGTAACGTCATGGGACAATACCTCTAGCACTATTTGTTAAGACCCCGGTGTCTTGTATGCTTATTTCTACCTTATCCTGTTGTGATATCATGCTCTTAATTGTGATAAAATGATGAAATAGCAATAAACTTCGGCTACAGATCAGATGGCATTATCTACAGATTTACACTACGTATAACCTAACGCAATATATAATAATAATATTCAAATAAAAATCTCATGAAGATATGAAAAAACACGAAAAATGAGAGAGAATTTTTGTGCATGATAATACGCGACTATGCATAAATTTTAAGATGCGCATAAGTAACATATTAATAAATCTAAGACAAAAATATTGACATAAATATATTTTGGGATGTAAGGCGACGATTTAGCTCCCTGCCAGATTCACTACCTCTTTTGTATAGAGAATAAAGCAGTTTTGAGCCTTCTTATAGTTAATGGTACATTTTATATTATTAATTATGTTAGCTACGATTGTTTGTTGTAGGTTTTGCAGGTGACAACTAATCATAGGCACACATTAAAAAACATAATAATCCAGATCACCAGTTTCACCGCTTCTGGATGGATCATCTTCTCTGAGATCGAAGCGTGGCGATCGGGTCATGGCTAGTGAAGAATTGCATCAAGTGTGATTTTTCACTTGTGTTGGCCATTTCTGGTAAAAGTTCTAGAGCCTACGACACCTTTTGGATAAACCGACCCTGGACCCTAGTATTTTCTGGAAATTTCGTAAAATATTGCCAAGTTGGCGAGAAAAGGCTAGTTATCGCAACGGCTACAAAAAATTGAGCGTATTTATCTCCGATCTTTTCTAAGCTATTTTTGCAACCATACTGCCTATTTACTTAGAATTACAAATATTTCAAAGTAATAGCACAACTAAAAATAAACAGACACAATAAGTGGTCATAAATTAAAAATTACATAAAACACATGATGAATAAACGTCAAAATATCATTAAAATATACCGAATGGTTAAATAAAAATAAATATATGATAATAACCAATAACCATATAACAAAATACAAACAATTAAACATAAATTACAACAATATGAGATGACTTACAGACACTTCTCCATCCTTAACGTCTGAGTATATTCCCCCACATTAACGACAACTTTCCATTCGCCTTTCCTGTTCTTGGCTCTGTGCGGCCTGCCATAGTGTACCTCCGAAGGACAGACGAAACCTCCATTGGGCCCATAATCTTTAGGCACCATACTGGACCCAGATGCATGAGGATATGAGCCATAATAGTGGTCAAAGGAATATGCCTGCTCCTGCTTGCGCGACAAGCCCTCCACTTGACTCTCACGAACTTTGACTTCGGCATACATGAGGTCAAATTTAGCCTTATCCTTGTAGATGCTGCTCATGATGGCAGAGCTGGAGATAGAAAGAGATTAAAACTTAATAAACACATAGAGTGCTATGTGATAAGCATGTGAACAATATTGCCATTTGATGACAAGTATCCTCTTTTATGAATGAAGTCGAACATATTTTGTTAAAAGATAATAATGGCATTAGTATACAAGTAACATAGGCACAAATTCTTGATGTTATTTTCGGTAATGGTTTGTGAAGAAATTAAGCATTTTTTAACGTATTTAAAACAAGTTTACCGACAAAAATGTGGTTATATTAAGAAATTTATGCTCAGATTTACAAAATCAGAACATAGTGATGGAATGCAAAGTAAAAAAAAAAAAAAAAAGATTTAAACCTCGATTCAGTGAGAATTTCAACTTTAAAAACTTCGTTTTTGTTTCTTTTTTTCTTTGGGGAATTAAAATGGTACAAAAGGAAAATATTAAAATATTTAACTTGAAAATTATTACCGTTGGCAAAATGTTTAAAAGACTAGATGATTCTATACGAGATATGTATAGTATAAGCAACGGAAACATCTTTTATTAATTACAATAGGCCTGCAAATGTGCATAAAAATATCAAATGGATATATTATGAATTAAATGGTTTTAAAAAATGAGTCAAGAATATTATTAAAAAATTAAAATCAAAATCTTTATTTCTAGGAAATGCTTTTATTGTTTTTTAATTAAAAAGTTTATTAATCAATAACAGGCTAACTAAACATGAAAAATAAATTTAAAATCATATGCTTTGTCGAATGGAAGCACTGCATCAAATGGCATTCGCGTATCCCCGTGAAAGATACAGACTTTATGTTCCACGCATTACAACATTTGCTAAGTAGAGCGGATGATGTGCAGTGTCTTATAAAAAGGATTATTTTTATTAATTACGCCTGACTTTGTAACAGAATAGAGGAGGCAGAACTTCAGAACACCTTAGTGTTATACGCCGTGTCCCATCAAGACTGTCCAGACTCTGCATATCCACATTCCTCGTGTGGAATACTCTGCATATCCACATTCCTCGTGTGGAATAAAAAACGACAATAGTTTTCGAGATAAAATGCAAAATAAAAGTATGACGTCATATCCAGTGCAATGGGCGGGAAAACCTTTATTTGGTAACATGAACATCAGTTTTCATACGTTTACACAGGAAGATGATCAAAAGGTCCACCCCGCATATGGAAGCATGCCTGCGCCCGCCGTGGTATGATGTCAAGCGGTCGTTTGAATTTCATTTTAAAAGCCTGCATCTAATAGCTACCGATAATCTTCGCCATGGCGATAATGCATTCCATGCCGCCCAACCGGGATGGTGGTTAGCGACGTTGACTGCAGTACCAAAGGGCCCGGCTTCGAATCCCGAACAAGACACTGATGTTTGTAAATTTATAGTGTCTGCGCCGGCATGGAGACACTCTAAATACACTTCGAACAGAAACTTCTCTCGAGAGGTTGTTGAAAGGGTTGCAGACCCTCGAATTTGGCGTCGGAATTGAGCAAAGTCGTACTTTCACCTGTATGGTGCTCAATGTATCAGGTTCAGTGTTCCGCCCTACTTGCTTTGGGAACGTGCAAAGACCTGACTCGGAACAGGGAGCTTACTAAAGCTATGTTCAATAAATGTGGGAAGTAGACAAGATACACAGGAAGGGTATACGAAACCCTTTATTTTTCACTCTTTACAATAATTTCCGTACTTCGGAATACAGAGACCAACTACTTGTGGTCTGAACGTAAGAATTTAAAAATATTAACTAAACTCTAACTTAACTTTGGAATAATAAACAAGGGCCTACGTGGAAGATTGGCCGTATATTAACAGGAAGCCGTATGTAGTACAGAGAACTGTTAACACTACAATACGTTTAAAATTATCAAGAGGATTAAACCTCTGGCCTGGAAGGCAACCAGCAACCGAGTAAAACTGCTAAGGCAAGCGGCCTGTTTCGACTAACTCCTTCCTCTCTCTTGCTTGGCAAAAAGCCACAACTTAAGTACTTGGCGTTCGCCAGACAAATTTGCATAAATAAGTTAAAGCTTTTAATTCTGGCCGGACGTAGAAAATAAGAAGTGATAGTAAAGATTTAAAATAAAAAATAAACGTTAGTAAAACTTAAGATCCTTACAAATGTTCTTGCTAATAACAGGCGCAATCTTGCACTTTTTATCTTGCCATGATGAATTTCGTAAGCCTTTTTCTACTGCAAGTGAGATGAGTCACATCAATAACAATACGTTTTCCGTTGGTGAATGTTTCGACATATAAATATTGGGTAAATATAATGGTAATGCCTTACGAACTGCTGGGGGAGTATGCCCGTCGCTATCCATCACGCTGTCCTCCCGATACCACAATCATCCGTAGATTGGACAAGAGATTGAGAAATACTGGAAGCGTTCGTCTGACATGCAAACTCAACGACGCTGGTGGGAGAATGAACCACGGGCTTAAGCCAGCACAAGAAAATGCAATACTTCGACGAATGGAAGAATGTCCCAAGCTGAGCGCAAAGGCACTAACTAGGGAGCTGAATGCGAATAGCAATAGTGTTTCGCAGAGGTTATTACAGTCAGAGGAGCTATACCTATTTCGCTATACAACCGTGCAAGTTCGACATCCAGATAATTTTCAGCGATGTATTAGCTCTTGTGATTGGCTAATGCAACAACATGAAGCCGAAAATGTTTTGATTGCTCATATCTTGCGAACGGATAGACTCCATATGTGATGGAGTGTTCAACCATCACAACAGCCATATGTGATCAGAGTACAATCATTGCGCAATGCACCCGGGGAGGCAGTACGTAAATGTGTGGGCCGACAGACTAGGCAGTCGCACGATTGGACCATATCTGCTACTTGAGCGCCTCACTGGACATTCATATTTGGTATTACTCCGTGATGTATTAACCGATTTTCTAGATGGCATACGTTAGCGGCAATACAAAGCCTGTGGTCCAGCATGATGGAGCTCGGGCGCATTTCACAGCTAGTGGGTTATTGGATAGTATGTTTTGTACGTTATTGGGTAGATATGGAATAACCAGACCGCTGGACCGGAAGTGGGGTCCGTGTTTATGGCCTCTATGATCGTCAGATCTGACACTTTTGTATTTCTTCCTGCGGAGCAAACTGAAAGAATTGGTCTATCAAGACCTAGTTACTAAAGAAAGTGTCTTAGTTGCTCGTCTTCATGCTACGTGTACTTTAGTGGACACCAACCTGCTGCAACGTGTGCAGTCAGCCATTCCACGGCGCGCATGCGTGCCTCGATATGTGCAGTGGGTATTTTAAACATCTTCCGATTTAAACATATGCAAGCGCCGATGTTTATGATTCAAATAAAGTTGTCTTTCCAATAAAGTTGTCTTTCGCCGAAATTAGTTTTTTTAACGTCTTATTCCTGCTTTTTCCACTCAGCTATCACAACTACGCACTTAAAATACTGCATATATATATATATAGAGAGAGAGAGAGAGAGTAATCGGAAATTGTGAATATAATTGCCGAGTAGCAAGTTGAAAATTCCTCGGTAGTGAAGGAACAAAACCTTTAGCATTCATTTTTAAAATCTACAAGAAAAATATGCTCCTTAAAGTACTAAAATAAGAGATTATTTCATGAAAGAATTTAATACCATATCTTCGAATAAGATACACTGAAGACTAAAAGGAAGTATTTCAAAAAACAGAAGTTAGTTCCAGCAGGAAAATGTAACTGAAGAAAAGTTACGATACAAAGAGTGCATGTCGTTTTCAAACCTTTATATTCTTGAATTTTATTTCTGTTATATTGAATCAAAAGAATTTTATTTATGTTATAATGGATTAGTTCAAACATAGTGATATTTTAAATTAGAATTTATATCTCCAGCACAAAAACAGAACCTGTAAAATAATACCGAATTTTACCAAAATGTTGATCCAAATATACTGTCATGAATATGCGACCCTGCTATTTACTCATGATATTTCCTAAGTGTCAGATTTTTAAATTCTGTTTATTCATTCTGTAAAATTCGAAACATATTTCTATAAAGCAACGAATGAAATTAGCAATGCAAAAGGAATATAAAATCCTTACCCCAGGAATAAAAAAATTATTTGAACCCATGGAAGAAAATTAAATCATGCTTTGTAAGCTAATAATAATCCATCAAAGTATTATATTTTTTATTTGAAAGAATTATAAATTCTGAATTACATTTATAACAGATTTTCCTGCTCAAAATCGAGATATTACTTTTTCAAGTCAATACTTCAATTTTAGGGAAAATATTTAGTGTAAGAATCGCACCAGTCAATATACTACAAAATGCTGCAATACGATAATGACAGTGTTTATTGGTATGCCATCTTAAACTGCTTTTCCTAAGATATCGTTTGCTTATTGGCTGAATTTTGTATGCATTCTTTAAAGTTTGCTTTGATTCTTAATCGTCTGCCAGTGAACATTCTCGAATCCACTGAAAAACTGAACTGAGAAAAGAATAGCAAAAACGTTTTGTAGATGATTGAAGCATAGCAGACATCTATTTCTGAATGGAAAACAAAATAATTTTCGCATACTACTTTATAACCACAAGAAAAATAAGTAATATTTTACGTCTATATTTCATACAACTAAATAATTTTTTACTGAAAAAACTAAACGGAAATTATAGATCTGGAAATTAGTAAACATCAATACTACGTTAACACACTTTTAAACTTATGTTGTTAACTATTTAGTTTTTTAATTAATTAACCTCTTTATAAAAACATATTACTAGATATTCATAGAAAAATATAGTATAAAAAAGATTAGAAAGAGGAAAATGCATAGGTTTAAAACTGTATTAACAGCAATACATATCAATGATTTTTTTCAGATTTCCAGATGTTGAATGCGTAAGTTTCCTTTTTATATTTTCATTAAAAATGTATCAATTAATTCAAAAATATGAAATAAACATTAAAATTATTACTCCTTCTCGTACTCACAAATCACTGCGCGCAAAT